TCCCAAACCACAAAAAATCCCCCAAACCTCCAAGAAACAACAGATACACCCCCAAAAATCCCCAAAACACCCCAGAAACCAGAAAAACACACCCCAAAACAACAAAAACCACCCAAAAGACCCCCAAAACCATCCCAGAACCAATAAAAATACCCCCAAACCAACAAAAACACCACAGGAAAAATCCTGAAACCACCCCAAAAAAGGGAAAGCTACCCCAAAAACCCCCCAAACCAACAGAAACACTCCCAAAAAACCCCAAAACACCCCAGAAACCACAAAACACCCCCAAAACAACAAAAACCACCCAGAATACCCCCAAAAGCAATCAAAATACCCTAACACCCCCCCAACCATCCTAAAATGTCTCGAAACCACCCCAAAACGAATAGAAGCACCCTCCAAAAAATCCTAAGCACTTCAAAACCAACAAAAACACACCAACCTTCCCAAACCAATGAAAATACCCTAAAAACCCCCTCAAATCACCCGTAGAATCCCCAAAACCTTCCAAAACCAAGAGAAGAACCCCCAAAACAACAAAAAACACCCCAAAACCCCCTGTACACCCCAAAATACCTTCAAACCCCCTGTAGAGTGCCAAAATCACCCAAACGGCCAGAACACCCCCCTAAACCACCCAAAATGAACCAAAATGACCCAAAACTCCTCAAAACACCCCCAAAAGACCCCTAAACCCCTCCAAATCACCCCAACATACCCCAAATTCACCCTGTATACCCCCGACACACACCAAAATACTCCCAAAACCTCCCTGTAAACGCCTAAATCACCCCAAAACCCACCTGATCACCCATAAAATAACCACAGAATACCCCTAGATCCCCTGTACACCCCTCAAATCACCTCAAAAGCCCCCAAAATTACTCAGAATGACCCAAAACACCCCCTAAAATCCCCAAGATATTCTGAAAATACCACTAGATCCTCCTCAAAAACCCCCTAAATGCTCCAAAATGGCTGCAAAATACCCTCAAATGTCCCCGTAAACACCCCCAAATCGCCCCAAAATACCCCCAAATCACCCCAAACTCCTACAGGACGCTAATTTCCCTGACCTTCTAAGCTCTTGACCTTTGACCCTGAACCCCTGACCTTTGGCGTTTGGCTCTTGACCTTTGACTACGACACCTGACCATTCACCTTTGACCCCAGACCCTTCACCTTTGACCAATAACCATCGGACCATGACCTTTGACCCACTGACACTTGAACTTTAATCCCCGACCTCTGACTTTTGACATTGACCCTTGACATTTGACGCCTGACCCTTGACCCTTGGTCTTCAACCTTTGACTCTTGACCTTTTGACCCTTGACCTTTGACCTTCGACTTCTAACCCTTGAGGCCTGCAGGGCCGCAGCATCCTCGACATACTCTGCACCGGCTCCTACCTTGATGTGCACAAAACTGCCCACTGGTTCCATCTATTGGTGAAAGCAGCTTGGGTGAGTTTTCCCGAGTCATGCACATGCGAGCTAAAGATGCTGCCTTTCAGCTGCTCCTGCAAGTTCCAGATGAAGAAACACAGTGGCAAATACATGCTCATTGAGGTGATGTTTGGGGTGCGGCAAGACGACTCAGATATCTTTGAGAGCAGCCAGAGTACGGAGGCCACCTTCACCCCAAACATGATGTGGCCAGACAGCTATGCTGTGGCAGAGGCAAAGTTCTTCAGGCTTATGGCCAGGGACATCACGCACAACAGCTTCCATCTCAAATGCCTGCAGGTCATTGCCCGCATCATGGTTGGCACAGACTTTTCCAGCTGTACCTTCAAGACTGTTGTGATGCACCTCCTGACCACCACACCCCTGTCAGGCTGGACCAGGAGGGATTTTCCGCTGCGGCTGCTGGAAATCATGCGATACCTGCGCCACCGCCTGAAGGAGAAACGGCTCAACCACTTCTTCTTGGGCAACGAGGGGATGCCTGAGGAGATCGTCTTGCCCTCAGACATCCGAGAGGCTGAACAGCTCAACCTCTTCCAGCACCTGGAGCAGGATCCCGTCGCCCATGCTGAGGCAATGCATGAGGTAGAGGAGCTTCAAGATCGGCTCAGAAGACTGCTGAAAGACCACTGAAAGAGGTCTTCATGCACAGAGCTGTGTTTGCGGGGCTCACAGCTCATGGCAGACGACCGCCTCATACAGAAAGGAAAAAGAAAAGAAAATGTCATAAACCAGACATGAAATGGAAAGTCCTGCTTAGTAGCTGTCTGCCAACAGCAGCAGCATTCCTCTCTCGACGGTCTCCCCAGCACAGCAGCCCACATTGACAATGGGGGCTACAAAGACGACTTTCATCCTCCTTCCTCATCCTGTTTTCCCCTTTTCTGAAAGATGGACCCCCATCAGCCCTCAGAATATGTGACCTCTCAAAGTGAGTCCCGTGACTTAGATAGCCAAAGCCCTGTCCCTGACACCACTCCCTCAACCATTTATTGATTTTTCTCAATCCAATCCACCCTTTCAAATCCCTTCCGTTTGACTGGGAGGATTGATGAAAAGATTATCCGTGCCCCCACATCCTTCACTGCTGCTCCCAGTGCCCCGTAGTTCCTCTTGATGGTCTTCAGATTACAGCTGTGTCACTTGTGCCCACATGATACAACAGCAGTGGGTAGTAATCAGTGGGATGTACAAGCTGTGGCAATGTCTCTGCAACATCCCTGATACAGGTCCCCGGCAAGCAGCAGACTTATCTTGACAGCGGGCCAGGACAGCAAACGGGTGCCTCTGTGCCCTTCAGCAGAGTGTCACCCACTACTATGACCCACCACTTTTTCTTGGTTGTACTAGTTGTTATACAACATGGAACTGGTTTGGCTGCCTTACTTGGACTTGAAGACTTGCCTAATACAGTTTCTTTCTCCACCTCAGTCTGCAGAGCCATGAATCAGTTCTGCAGGGGCTTCTCAGGCTTTGAGGGAGTTTCCTTCTTCCTTCTACTAGCTCTTGCCCTGGTAGTTTACCATTCGCCACCACTGGTGGTTTCCCCTCTATCTGGTTGTGCTGGTGGGGGACACTGGGGCTGTTTGGCCTTAGGCTGCGAGTTCAGGGCAGATTGCACCTCCAGCTGTCCTTTTCTGCCTGCCTGATGCTACACACCCTTCTGACCATCTCCTGCAGCTCTGCCACCTGCCGCAGGAGGTCCTCCACCTGGGCACTCCTTTTGCCT